GCATGTCTCTGTGTCTGTGTTTTTTCACAAGACATCCCTTCTTCCTGCTTTACTCCCTTTATGTCCCGTTTCTACACACACATCTTCTAATCCCACTTTAGCAGAGCCAGCAACGGGTATCTGAGGCTTGCTGCTGGGACAAAAGGATGGACCGGGCTTGTCTCCACCCTGAGAAGCATGTGGTGCCATCAGGGGGACCGTCTCCAAGGCTGCTTCCTCCGTGAAGCCCTTCAGGTTCCCTAAGATGGTTTCATAGCCCTTTGAGCCTCCGCAGCATTTGCTTGCTCACTCATGATAGTCTAACCTGTGAAGAGTTGGTTGTGCAAACATCCTGTCTCTTCTCCTTAGGGGAGGAACTGTATCTCGTTCGGCTGCAGCACCTAATGCTTCTTTAATGAGTATATGGGTGAAAATGGTCCCTGTTATAGCGACTGCCCCTTCCCATCTGGTGCCGTGTGGAACAGTGGGTGCTGGCGGCCTGCCCCGCCTAGGAGGACGGGGGGCCCCGCCTAGGAGGACGGCGGGCTCCGCATCCCTTACAGGCGGTGTGGATGGCGTGGACGGTGTGGTTCCCCCTGGAGAGAGGTTTCGGGGGCTGTTGACTCAGAAGAGCACCTTCCTTTTCAGGTGTGGAAGATGAGTGACGGGCTGTTCTGCTTTCTGTTTTCATTTTTTGACTTTCATAAGCAATACATTCTCGTTGTAAAAACACTAAAAACTGAGCAAAAACACACACGAATTTTACCACCAGGAAGAACCACTGTTAACATGTTTCCTATGCCTGTGTATTTATTTTTAGAACAAAAATGAGATCATACTGCACACACGTTCTTCTTTCTTCGCTGCAAACAGTGCACGTGCTGTGGAACTTGCCCTCTTAACGTGCCCAGCGCAGTGACATTCAGCTCGTTCACAGGGCTGTGCGGCCGTCACCGCTCTCCAGTCCTGGGGGCTGCGTCGCCCCAGACAGGAACCCCATTTCCTGGCTAGCGGCGACCTGTGTCTGTCTCCGGAGTTGCCAGCCATGGGCGTTTCATGTAAATGGAGTCCTACAGTTGGGGGCCTTTGTGTCTGGCTTCTTTCACTCAGCATCGTATTTTCAAGGACCGTCCAGATCGTGCTCACAGACAATTGTTGTAACCCGCTGTTTTCACTGACGAAATCCTGGACATCTGCCTTATCAAGGACGCCCCCTCTCATCATCC